TCCGCACACATGGACATGAGGCCCTGCTTTTTTTGGGGCTCGGTACCCCGATGTTTTGTAGGTGTAAAGGGAAACCAAGAGGAACACCACCATTTTGGGGGGGGGGGCCGCCTCAAAATGGACACATCAGGAACCTGTAGACTGTACGCTGCTTGGACCACGACTAAGCATGAAGCAACCAATTGAGAAATTCGGGGGACCTGTTTAACAGGCGAAACGTGTTGCACACCGCATCCGGGAAATAACATCATTTCTCACGTGCCCAAAGGACCCACAAATTCAAGGTTAACCTTTCGGGACATGAGTAAGCCATCCAGCGGACAGCCACATGGTTTCAACCAAAATAGGAGACCCCAAACGATGGTCAGGTTCGTTTTGGTTTCCCCTTAAATACGAACCAAAAAAGGCGCGAGGCCCATGCTGAGGAACCTCAGGGCAAATGTGGCATCAAATGCCATCTACCAACTCACCATCACAACAAAAGGCTGCCCCCTGTGTTTCATTTATTTTCAGATTCCCCGGATGAGTGGGTTTTTGCGTTTCTTTTTGGAGTTGTTTTTCGCTTAAGGAGTCCTGGGCGCCCCTTCCTTCTGGAAGTCCCAAACTGACCCGGGCATCGAACACCGGCCAAATCTAAACCCAAGACCTGTCAAAATGGTACGACCCTCAAACTGCTCTTAAAGGTGCGTCAATTGTTGTTCCAAAATTATTGTGGGATGAAATCCAATTTTTTATCGGCAGTTTGAGGATGCCCCCCCCCCCAAAAAAAAGAGCAGAAACGAAGAAAGCAAGGTTTTCAACTTTAGGTTCCGCTTGAATTTTGAGACACTCTCATACAAGTTGTGGAATAAATCCTGTCACTTTCCGGCCTCACAATAATTTAGTCTAATAGTACCCCAAATGTCCTTTCCTACTTCAGCTTTTGCCCTACCACAACTCCTTCTTTGGAGGTCTTCTTATTTGGTAGGCCTTCACTTTTTCCGGCTCCGAACCCCAAACTCGGCCTCCAGAAGCTCGGAGCTCCGGATCCCTTCGGATCCCTTCGCAGGGCTACGGCACCATCACCTTCTGGGACGTGACCACCGGCGCGCGGTACCACCTCGCGCAGCGCTGGCCTGGGGCCCCGGGAGTCCGGCAGTGGGCCGTCGTCCTCGAAATTCTCCGAGGGCCAGAGGTTGAGCAGCCGCGAAGCCGAAGTCGACTTTGAGTTTCTTCCACGTGCTGAAGGAATAATATATATATATACACTTTCATGTTCATGTAAAAAATAGTCCAATTGTTCCACACGCTGAAGGATTTTTCGTGTATTTCCCCAATTTTGGTGTTAGAAGGAGTTTATCGCTGGAAAATGGTTGGTCTCACTTTTTCCAGGAGGCGATTTCAGCAAATGTAAGGAATCGACACCAGTTCATACTGTGTTTGTTCTTTTTTGTTTTGGGGGGGGTGAGCGGGCTATGGAGGGTTGCATTTTGTTGGGGGGCTGTACTTGGACGATGCGTTTTGGTTTTTGTTGGACGGTGGTACTCTTTGTTTTTTTGAACAGAAGCAAGTGCTTCGACTCGCTGGTGTTTTATGATTCAATGATTGGTGTTTTTCGGAGCCTGTCAGGGTGTCATGGAGGGTCTATCCTTTAAGGAACCTGATGGACGCACTCCCCGAGCTGTGCTTTGACTGCTTTTTGGGAGTTTAAAAGCCAAGGTTTCGGACATACTTTCCGGGCCAAAAAAACACGGATGCGAGCAGTAAGCAACCTTAAGCTGCCTGACTTTCGCCTACAAAGTACGACACAGTTACCTTTGCCGGGTTCGGTCGGATCTGCTTGGCCAAATCTTTTTTTTAAGTACGCCTTTGTATTTCTTCCCCAGAATGAGCTTCCCTTTTTGATGTGTTGCTTTTTTGGGACCTCCTTTGTGTATGCTTTGCTGGGGTCCTACTTCCTGCCGACTTTTATGTTTCACACTCGGAAAAATCAAAGAACAAACACGACCTCGCCGGGCAAAGAGGGCTGAGGCGGAGGTCCCTTGCTTTGGGGCTCTGTTTTCTAGATTCCGGAGGCCAGGCTTATATAGGGGAATCATCATGTACCTGGATCCCCAGCAAGGCCTAACCATTTTCCAGCTACTTTTGCATCAAATTATGGGCTACTAGTGGGGTTCCAGTGGCTGGAAAGAAGGTGGCTTACTTGGGGATTCAGGTAAGACAAAACCTAGAGGTGAACACACTGGGCCAGATTCTTGTGTCCCTCGCAGGGCTCCTAGGATTGGTTCTTCGGCCTTGTGACTGTGGATTGACAAAATCCATTTCGAGCAACACGAAATGAAGCCGTGGTTGAAACCATAAGGTTTGTAGGTGTTTACAGGGGAATCCTCATTCTACGGTTTCTTAGGTGGTGCAGGATTTCGTCCATCCACAGTAGTTCAACTATTCATGGGCTTAATTGTGGTCAGGCCTGTACAACCAGCTTCTGATTTAGTCTTGGAGTTGTTCAAAATTTTGGCCTAGCTGTGCTGCCAAAGGAAAAAGACCCTGCAGAGGTTCCCTTGACAATGATCTTTCAGAACCTTTGACAGAGAAGCTTGGGCTCCAGAAAGCAGTTGGGATGCGTTTCTTTCTGCGGATTTCACCCGGTTTTCCCCCTGGTTGTCCTGTTTTAGTGATCTTTCAGAAAATGTTAATATCCAAGCAGGGGTGGATCCGTGAGTGTCGGCTATTGCGTCACTTCGGCTCCAAATTTGAGGCACTTGTCTTGGTCACGTAGGCGGCCTTGCCGGCAGCGCCATGCAAGTGGATGTGTGCCTGGCAAGTGGGAAGAGCTGCTCCGTGGCAACGGAGCCAGAGGCAAAGGTTCTCGATCTGAAGTTTGCGGCACAACAGCAGCTGAAGCGCCGTTTCCTGCGGCTCGTCTTCAGAGGCCAGCAGCTGGATCCATGGGACACTCTGAGCAAGGTGGGCCTCAAAGACGGAGACAGCGTCGCTGCAGTGGCGTCCACAGTGGCAGCCTTTGCCCTTCATGCGGAAGGAGGCGCAGCGCTTGCCTGGGGGCATCTAAGTAGGGGCGGTGACAGCAGCCAGGTGTGAGAGGAGTTGGCGCAGGTCCAGCACATCCAAGCAGCGAGTTCTGCCTTTGCCGCGATCCTGGCTGACGGCACAGTGGTCACGTGGGGCAATCCTTCCGCTGGCGGTGACAGCAGCAGGGTGCAAGAGCAGTTGGTGCGAGTCCAACAGATCCAAGCCTCCGAGCGAGCCTTTGCTGCCATCCGGGACGACGGCTCTGTGGTGACTTGGGGCCTGCCTGGCTTTGGCGGTGACAGCAGCCATGTGCAAGAGCAGCTGGTGCGGGTCCAGCAGATTCAAGCAACCACGCGAGCATTTGCGGCCATCCTGGCCGACGGCTCGTTGGTGGCCCCACGCCATGTAGGCTGCGGCGGTGCCATCGATCATGTTCAGACTGGGCTGCGCGTTTTGTAAGACAAGGTTTAGTCTGCGCTCGCAGCCCCACATGAGTGACCGCGCGACCAATTGGCATTCAATGTGGGTCTTAGCAGCGCAGTTGGTTGCAGGTTGAGCAGATTGAAGCAGCTCAGAGTGCTCTTGCTGCCACCCTTTCCGACGGCTTTGTGGTGACTTGTGTCTATGCGGACTATGACGACGGCAGCGCCAAATATGTGCGAGAGCAGCTGGTGGGTACAGCAGATCCATGGAACTTTCGGAAAGTTGTTGCTGCCATGCTGGGAATCCTGGCTGACGGCTTTGTGACTTGGGGCCATCCAGGCTCAAAGGGTAGCAGTCGGATTGAGACTGAGCTGGGTTTCGTTTGATTTCCTGCAAGACAAAGTGCTTGCTTTGCATTCAGCAGCTGACCTATTGGAACGTGGGTCTTGAAAGCATGCCTTTGCTTGACACCCTAATTGCTCGCACACTTGAGTGTGTTTCCCCCCAGGCGACCACAACCTACGTACGCCTTTGACTTTCGCTACAATTTAAGCTTCACTCAAACGGGCCATAATGTTGAACCCATATCAATCAACCTCAGTGTATTCATAGGGGGGTGTCCCTGGGTTTAGTGGGGAATCAGACCAGATATGGGGTCAACATTCATCAACAATGGTTTGGCGAAAACCGGCAGTGGCAACGGAGCATATTTTGCCGGAGCTCCCCCTCCCGCATCCCTGCACAATTCCAGGTGGTTGCGCAAGTGAAATTCTAGAAGGCATGTTGGACTTGTTTCAAAATGCTTGTCACTGTAGATTACCCAATGCCAATGTTTGTCCTCTCGAATTCCCCCCCAAAAAAAGCCGAAAAGGCTACCCCGAAAACACCCGCTAGTCCGTGTTGGACACATGATTGTCGCTGTTGTCCCCCAAAGAGTAAACATAAGTTTTTGACATGCAGACAATTGGCTTAGTAACTAGCGCTTCAATTTTCAAGACACCGGGACCCGGATTGACAGGGACGCAGATATCGTTCGAACAATTGGGAGCCCTCGCTTCCCAAAAACACTCCACCTTTTTGACCGGTTTTTGCATCAACACTCCCATGGGGACCTAAAAGGGGGACTCTTTGGATGAAAAACCAAAAAAACTCCCCCCCCCTCCCTAAGACTACCTTTCTTGAGGGGTTTCCCACCAAAAAGCCCACCCTTTTTTGATCCACCGCTTTTTCGAGGGCACCAGAGGTGGCTCAAAAACTCCCGTCTTCGGGTCCCAGCCCGCCGGAGGTTGGGCCATACCGGGGACGCCCAGCGCCCGGAGGCGCGCCGCTCGGCTCGGCGGGCTCGAAGTTGCTTCCGTTGCTTCAGTTGAAAATCCGTCCTGGGAAATGTGAATCGTTTGTTGGATCTTCCCTTGGTTTTAAAGGGGATCGATTTCACATGTCCAGGACATATGGTCCTTATTTTGTCCAGGGTTCTGAACCAGATAGAAGGTTGAGCCCAAGGAAACCATCGGTCGAAAGGGCTTGGAAGCGTCGAACAGTTTTCCATTTTTTTCGATGTGACCCCCTCCCGAAAACTAACACTCTGCTTATTAATATGGGGCTGTCAATCTTCTTTTGTTTGGGGGGGGGGGGTTCTTATTTGAGGCCTGAGCAATATCCGTTGACCTCCAAAAAAAGGGGTGCATCAATGACGACTTGGCAAATGGAACCAAAGACCCAAAAATTGCGTAGCCCCGGCTCTTGAAGTTGGAGCCACCCCCATATTAATAGCCCCCTGCCTGGATCCCTGCCTGTTTTTAGCCCAAATTATGGGCTACTAGTGATTAAAGTGGCTGGAAAAAGGTGGCCACTTGGGGATCCAGGTGTCTATTTCTATAAAGCTGTCAACCAGTTTTTTTTTTTTTTTGTGGGGGGGGGTGACAGCCTTATTCGAGGCCTGGGGCGTGAGCGGCCTTCATATTTCTGGTAATTTGGGCTCCTTTTGCCCAATCCACTAGTTGCAGCTATGCATGTTGGACATGCTGTGGTTGCGACCTCAGCTTCTCGCACCACTTGATAACCATAGTTATCATAGTTGAAACCAGTGCTGGTTGTTTTTTACAAAGAGTCTTTTGGTTTACTTAAAGGGGCGATCGCCTTAGTACATGGCTAATAAACCTGGTGAAATAACCCACTCAGGAGACGTTTTCCATGGGCAAAAGTGAGTTCTAACCATGGTTATTTCCCACTTACCATGTGCCTCTCGTATAGCCTGCATATATTACTGTATTTAGGGTCTTGGGCTTTTGGGGGTCTGATGTCAAGCCCGGACTGGCTGAGTTTCAGGCGGATCCTGACGACCGAGGGGTCCTTGGCACAGGGGTTCTGTAAGGGAACCATTGTGGAATCCCATCAGTGAGAGGGGACAAGACCCCCCAACATCCTCCAACTGAAACCGTGACTCTCTTTTTGTCTTTAGGATTTGGACTTTGTTTGTTTTTTTGTTTTTCGGTTTCCTTGTGGTTTCTTAATATTCCTGCTTGAAATCGTGTTGCTTGTTGGCGCTTTGGACTGTTTGAAATGGCGCTCTGGTTTTGGTTTCCCTACCGAGAGGCTCCGACCCCTCCACCCCTCCATTAGACACCCTGGAGGTGTTTTGGGATCTCAAAACCTGGCTGTTTGAGGGCCCTAAATCAATCGAATTGGATCCTCTGAGTTCCCTGGAAAAGAGCCACCAGGTATAAGCCATCAGGGGACCGGCGCGTGGCTCCATTTAGCGGAGCAAGCCATTTTGGGCACCCATTTTTGACCCACACCCACCAAAAGCTGGGTGGAAAAGAAAAAGAGCCACCAAAAATGGCGCTCTGGTTTTTGGTTTCCCTGGAAAAAGAGCCACCAACCGCCAGGGTACCGCGAGACGCCAAAAAAGAAAACACGCCACAGCCGAAAGAACGAACCACGCTGGCAGGTGGAGAAGCGATTTCAGGGCCGGCAGGCTAGATGGGGGTCAAAGAGGAGGGATGTTTTTCCCTTGGCTGCATATACATATATATACATATACAGTATACACATATACATATACATATATATATATATATATGGTGCACATATATGGTGTATATATATATATATATATGTGTGTGTATATATGGTGGCAAACTAACCGATTGAAAGGACACCTATGCTAAGACCCTTTTCCGAACGGAAACAAAGGCAGGAGGAGGAGGTTGAGATCTTGTGATATTATGCTAGGGGGGTGCCTCCAAAAGTGGTCTGATTGCCACAAATTTCACCCAGGGACACACCCCTATTAATGAACAGGTTGGTTGATGAAAATCAGGGGTCAACATTACCCTCCCACACATATGCTAAGACCCTTTTCTGAGTGAGCAGGAGAAGAATGAGATCTTATGATAGCTGCGAAATAGATGTCCACTGTTTTGGTTCTTTTTGTTTCTCTCTTTTTTTGTTCGTTTACCGCAGTCATCCAGTTTTCCGAAGGGTTCTTTGGTCAGATCTTTAACCTTGAAATAGTTTTGGTAAATGGGGGTGGTCAATATTCCGTTCGGCCCCCCGATGTGCAACTCGCGTCCCAAGAGAAACTTTCTGACCCTGGAAAATCCCACTTGAGCCACGTCCTCAAAACCCAGGTAGATGAAGGTTCGCAAGCGAACATCCCGACAAGAAAATGGGTGCAGCCACCTTGTGAATTCTTTACATGAAGTTTCAGGGTCCAGGTTGATATTAGTTTTCATACGTTCTGAAATATACTTTTTTGGTGTACCGAGATACATAGCAAGTAACCTTTGATGACCTTACCGCAATCGACCATGATCTACCATGCATTGTTTTGTAGAGTGCGGTTTGTGTTCTTGCAATATTTGTGTTTCTCAAAATCGGTGTTCTCTTCTTCAGAGTTCCCTAGATGTCCTAATTTGGTGGTTTGAAACATCACCTCCAATTCAAAGTTTCCTTTTCCCAGCTGCCCAGTGGATTCCGCCTTTCTTCAACTTTTCGTTTTGGGGCGGGGAAGGTGTCCGCTTCCTTGAAGCTCCACCAACCCCCCAAAAAAACTCGAAATGTTGTTTCGGTTTTTTTTCGGCATGGACAAATCCACTGGGCATCTTTTTGTTGCGGATGGACAAAACGAGCCCACGGACCCACGCGCCCCGCCCGGATCCGCAGGCCACGGCGGACTGGAAGTCGGAGACCCGCACGGCGGAGCGGGCCAACTTCTCGCGGCTCGGAGCCTCAGACTCGGAACGGTCCTTTAGGTCCCGGGACCGCGTGCCATGAATAGCTTGGATCGAAGGATGACGCTTAAAACAAAGGGTCAATGACCCCATTATTTTGGGCTAGGTCCCCCAGCTAGGTGCCCTGTTTCCGTTTCCTTTTTGGTTGGGAGGGTTCCCCTACTCAAATAGGCTACAGCAAAAAGTTGGTACCCTTATTCTAACCTCTCTACTGGAGGACCTAGTCCCTTCCGCGTGCTGACATGAATAGCTTGGATCGAATGCCTCGGTTTTCCAGGGGCCCTTTCTCACCCCTGTTCTTCCATTTGCTTTAAGAATATTGCCTATATTTTATCTTGGTTGGTTTTAAAGGGAATCGATTTCACTACTGGAAAGATTTTCTTTTTTTTCCGGGGGTCTTAACCAAATGGAAGGTCCGCTTCGGGGAAGATGAGGGATGGAGTTAAAACCAAGGGGTAGATGCGGTCAGGTAGTGGCCTTTTTTTGGAGTGGATTTGGAGTGGTGGAGGCGCGATATATATATATATATATATGTATATATATATATATGTATATATATATATATAGCAGGTATTTCGCTGAATTGGAGTGGTGGTTCCAAAAGGCCATGCGGTTCCAAAAAGATTGTACAGCTTTCTGGTTGGTTTAGTAGTTTGGGTTTCTGCATTTAACCCGCGAAAAGTGTTCAGCTTTTAGCGGGGGATGTGAGGACAGCCCAGTTTGGCTTGCTTTGGATTTGGATTTGAGGACTCCCTAATCCGCTAAGCCAAGCCAAACCACCAATTAGCGGGAAGCTGATAAGGCCGGTGGGTTGAGAGCCCTAGGGTTTGTCGCGGGAGCCTTGGGGAGCCTTGGGGAGCCTTGGGGAGCCTTAGGAACTTGAGGCATTCCATAGGCCTCAGATTGGAGACCTCCCCGCAGCAAAAAGCATGACATCCTGGCAATGTCCTTTTTTGGTTTCCCTTTGTTGGCTTATGTCCAGTCGTGGGTGGGTGGGTGGGTGGCTGGGTGGCTGGGTGGCTGGGTGGGTGGGTGGCTGGGTGGCTGGGTGGCTGGGTGGCTGGCTGGGTGGGTGGGTGGGTGGGTGGGTGGCTGGGTGGCTGGGTGGTTCGGGTGGGTGGGTCATGCCCCAGCTGAACCTTGCATTTCCTCCTTTGGGAAAGTGCCTGGACCAAGAAGAAAGAACTGGAAAATCACACAGTGAATTAGGGTTGCGATCACCCATGTTTATCTTCACAACCCTTGGTATGGCGGCGAAAAACCTTGTTGTTTGCAGGCCCCTACAAAAAATGAACAGAGCCCAAAAAACAAAAAAAATGAAAAGCATGCCAAGAACAGTGAAGTTATGGTTACTTTGAGGCTTAAGGTGTTCGTTCCCTCAAGAGCAGCCACTTGCACTTGTGGCAGCCCAGGCAGCAGCACCTGGCGGGAATGGACCAGCTCTATAGGCGCCGAAATGCGAATTTTTCGGTGGGGACACGGAGTTTTGGGTGGACGACCTGAGCCACGTCCTCAAAACCCGGGGATTGCCTTACATGGTTCTGGGTCAACCATTTTAATACCGGGATTTGTGTGTGACTCGCCTGAGAAGAGCGTGTGTCAAAACATCTCACTCCCTAAGTTCCTTGATCGTCACTTTTTGGGTTTGGACCTTTCGTGCCATAAACAACAAGTGTGGCACTTCTAAGTCCCACAGCTAGGTGCCCTTTCACCAACATTTTTGGTTGGGAGGGTTCCCCTACTAAAATAGACTACAGAAAAAAGTACCCTTATTCTACCCTCTCTACTGGAGGACCTAGTCATTTTTTGGGTTTGGACCTTTTGTGCCGTAAACAACAAGTGTGGGTACTTAGTTGTTTTGCCAATCCAGTCAGGAAGTGAGACAAGTGGGGAGGGGACATGCCCCGGCTCCCCCACTCGTAATACCCACTGAGTTGGTATGATGTCAACCCTCTACAAAAAGGGATCTTGGCATTTACCATGGGGAGACTGATCTTGTTTTTAAGAAACCCAGCTCAAGAAGCGTTGGTATTTGGAGCTTACAGGCTTGACATGCACCGCCCGGTGAAGGGTGTCCAGTATTCACCCTCATGGATTGCCGATTGCCGCGTTTGTTCGCTAACAACCTTACCATGCACACGCAAGAGAGTTGGGCTCGGAGATGTTTTCCTGGACATGGTTTCTGAGATGTAGATACTGAAAAACGGATGAGCAATCAGGATACCGAAGAAACAAAGCAAGCCCCAGTCAACTTTGATGCTCGAGGATGCTGGAAGAGAGACAGATCGAGAGAGATAGAGTCAACTTGTATGCAACGAAAGGATGCTCAACTTGTCTTGACGGGGTCTCTTCGCCTCTTTCCATGGTTAGCAGCCTTCTCATCGTCATCTTTTGGTGGCCAGCTGAAACACAGGACACGCTCTCCACGGCTCTCCACAAATTCGCACGCACAAACACATAGACACCCACCCACCCACCCACCCACCCACCCACCCACCCACCCACCCACCCACCCACCCACCCACCCACCCACCCACCCACCCACCCACCCACCCACCCACCCACCCACCCACCCACCCACCACCCACCCACCCACCCACCCACCCACCCACCCACCCACCCCCCACCCACCCACCCACCCACCCACCCACCCACCCACCCACCCACCCACCCACCCACCCACCCACCCACCCACCCACCCACCCACCCCCACCCACCCCACCCACCCACCCACCCACCCACCCACCCACCCACCCACCCACACCACCCACCCACCCACCCACCCACCCACCCACCCACCCACCCACCCACCCACCCACCCACCCACCCACCCACCCACCCACCCACCCACCCCCACCCACCCACCACCACCCACCACCCACCCACCCACCCACCCACCCACCCACCCACCAAGCCACCCACACACACACACACACGCACACAAACATGCCTGTGAAGCTGCTCTGCTGCCTTAAGACGCGGCCCGAGATGAAGCATCCGCCGCGCAAGCGTGAGGCTTCCGATCTCTCCTTGGACAGAGCTCTACAAGGCAGACATGCGCCTTGGATCTGCTCATCATCGGGGAAGGAACCGACCTGGAGCCTCAAACTACCCATCAAAAAGAGTGATTGCAACCCGAAAAGTAATGGTTGGTGATTGCCCTTTCTTCTATGGGTAGCTTCAAGTTGGGGTGTTCCTTAAAGGAAGCCATCAGTTGGATGGTTCAGCTGGGAAGGTCATTTCCCTCCCTGAGATCCAGCAAGAAAAGTCTAGGGATTCGCCGGGGTTTGGTGAGTTTTCACGGGAAGCTTCTTCCTCCTGAGCTGATGATGCATGCGAATCAACTACCTGGACCCTCCTTTTCCCTTCACCAGCTGAAAGCCGTGGAGTGGTTTTCGCACAGCTCCGGAGTAGGGTTTTGCAAAGCTTCCGCGGGGGTTGCTGTCGGGGGATACCACCTGGGCGTTTTACGTTCAGACATTTGATTCCGGGACAATCTTGCGCGATAGGTAGGACATGAGAAAATGAACCCGAGCTTTGGTCCCTTTAAAGGAAGTTTCCAGTTGGATTGTTGAAAAGGGTCATTCCAGTTCTCATTCCCTATCCTATGGCACCAGCAAGTTTACTCAGTTGCCCCAAACCCACCTTTCTGCCTTGGTTTTCCATTTTTTGGCCACCATTTTTAGTGGCCCCAAAGGTGCAAGTAGAAAATGTTTGGGTCCTTTTTCGCAAGGAAGCCATAGTTTTGGGGCACTAACCCATTTAAGGGCAGGTTGACAGAGGGCACGGTTTGTGCCGTTATTGTAAAGACACTCAGTTGTTCAGTGGCTCCCCTTTTTCCGTTTTTTTTTTTGGTGGCTGCCCCGCTAAAAATGGTCTTCCCCAAAAAAGGGTTTCCTGAACCCTCAAACTACCCATAAAAATTGGATATCACCCCATCATTTGGGGGGTCAAACCCATTTTTGAGTTGGAATTTTGAGGGTTCAGGAAACCCTTTTTTTCTCCATGGCCACTGAACAACTGAGGATACCACCTCGCCAACTCGAGTTGGAACCGGTTTGGCCTTGGCACTGGGAAGCTGGAAGCTCGCTCCCTGAGGCTGACGGACATTCCCTATGCCTCCATCGAGGCAAGCGGCACGTGTCACGCGTGTCACGTGTCGCAAGACGCCGTCCTGTGGATGACGAAATCTATGTTGCAGCACCTCAGAAACCTAGAAGATGAGTCGAGTCCATTAAAAAAAAGAAAACAAGTACCCATGAACGATGGTTTCACCCATGGTTTCACCCATGGTTTCACCCATGGTCCACAGCTGAGTGGCCCCTAGCCAACTTGGAAACACGCTAGCAGGACCCGAAGGCGAAACGAGCCGGGAAGCATGGCCCAATATGGCGGGTGAATTACCTTTCTCCTGAGATTAGGTCTTTTGGGCTGCTTGTTGAGTTGGCAGGTTTGGCTAGTCTCCAGGATATTGCCCTTTTCGCTTATGGGGTCATGCCCCCTTAGGCTAGTTTGAAGGTCCAGGCATTCGCCAAGTCCCATCCAGGCTATCTTGAACTCACAGGGCAAATTGAGTTTGCGGTGCCCCTGTTGAGTGAGAGGGCTCGGACTTTCGTGCACGTTTTCAGCCAGAGAAAAATATAAGTGTTGACCCTACACCAACATAGGGAGATCCCTAACATTGTGATTTGCCTTTTGGAACGGACTGAATGAATGGACGAATGAAATGGACTGGAATGAAATGGACTGGAATGGAATCGGTTTACTGAATAAATGTATTGATGCATGACTTTCCGGTAAGACACACCCTTCAAATCATATATGACTACACGCTGGTGCTCCCGGCTATGGCTCCGGATTGGCTATGGCCTCTCGCGACTGCCAGGTGATATTCAACGGCTACGATGTGTACGGCAACCTGCTGAATCATCACCCAGCTCCCGGGAATGCAATTTGATCGCCCTTGCCCCTGGCAGATGTCCAATACCTGGATCCCTAGTTGCCTGTATTTTCCGGCTACTTTTGCCAAATTATGGGCTACTAGTGGGTAGGAAAACAGTAGGCTACTTAGGGATCCAGGTAGCATTTAATTTCTCGCTTTGAACATTCGGACCTCACTCCCTGAGTGCCGTTTCGGACTTAAGCCTTTTGGGAAGACTGAAAAACAAGAAGTTCATACTTTGTTTGGCCAGCCCACTCAGTTGGTTGCACAAGAGTGTTTCCCCTTTGGCCCAAGGGTGAACCCCCCTGTCCCCTAACATGGAGCCTGTCTGAGTCCTGGAAGACAAGTTTCCTTTCAGCTGGTCCCTAGGGTGGTTTCCATGTCAGTGGGCAGGAGGGCAACAGCTCAGTTGTTCAAAGCCGACCTTTTGACCTTTTGGCTTTCCAATTTTGGGTTCCCATATTTAGTCATGGCCCCAAAAGGTGATCACCTTTTAGTTCCAGGTCCTTTGGGCAACTGAGACAGAGATCTATCCGTCATTCCTTTCCACCAGCCGCCAGGGTCAGCAGCTCTGCGTCAAGAACTTTGGGTTTGAAGTGGGCCGATTGGGGCCGATTGCGGTTCGAAAAAGGGCCTTCCGAATGATTCCTCGAAGTGTTCATGGGACCCCTGGCACATGTTTTTTTTGTTTTTGTTGCCAGAGCTGGTGTGTTTGAGGAGGTGGTGGTTCAGGGTGGTGTCCTAGCTATGAGGGTGCAGACTTTGACAGCTCGAGTGATATCCTTGTCTCTGTTGGGTCTGAGGCGTGCATCTACTACGACATGGAGATCGTGCCTGGGCTGGTGACAAGGTTGCCATGTCCTGGGGAAGATGTGCCGGTGCAACATACAGCAGGGCCAAACTGCATGATGGGCTCCAGGGGTCCAAGGTTTTGTAACAAACGGGATCCTCAAACTACCTATTTTTACAAAATGACACCATCACATACATGTGCGGCGATAGTTATGGGTAGTTTGAGGGTTCAGGAAGATTCACCCTGTTGTGGGCCCCTTTGAACAAGCTCGAGCTTTCCGATGTTGACCCTTGATTCAGCAACCAGCGAGAATTCAGAGGAGTCGATTCTGCAGGTTTATTTGAACCAAGCACATCCTGGACTTTTTCTCCTTTTTTTTCGTGAAGACCATTTAAGCACAAGGATTGGACTCTGTTTGGCCAATCCACTCCGGAAGTGAAAAACACCCTTTGAATGTGAGTTGCCGGACCGATCTTTCCTATGGCGCCTTTTTTTCCAGCGGGTTCGTGGGTTTCAGTGCCGATCCGAGGATAAAAGCTCCTGGCACAGCTTGGCGGGTGCAGAGCTCAAGCAGCAGATGTACATGGGCAAGGACACCCCGCCCGTTTCACCCGAATTACACTTACGGAATTCGGGGAGGGGGGAATACATACTGACTCGGTCCCCCAGAGGGTTCCCCTAGTAAAATGGATTTAGATGATTTAGGTTGGCTCATCATACACCCCCTACTCCAAATACTGTACCCGGCCTTTTTTCAGTTGGTATCATGTCGACCTTTGACCCTTTCTTTTTTGGTTGAGAGGGTTCCCCTTTTTAAAATGGACTGCAGAAAAAATTGGGTAACCTTTTTCCAACCTCTCTACTGGAGGACCTAGATGAATTCAGGCAGGGGGAATTGGATAATTGCAGATCTTTTCATTTATAGTGAGCCTTTGGCGCATTTTGCTTGGATATTGAAACTTTAACTTTTTGCCAACTACTGATTTTCCCGTATTAAACCACTAAAAGTTATTCACTTTTAGCAGGGGAACAGATTTCGCCACCGAGGAGCCATGTCCCATGATTTGTTTCGGGGTTGGAAGACTAGGTAAATGGACTTGCGGAGCCTCCAGTCTCCAGTAGTAGTTCCCAGCCAGTCCCAGAAAGGTGGTTGAGGGTTTAGTGGTGGTTTCCGCTCAAGCACGAAAAGTAAAAGAACAACAGAAAAACAAACAACAACTTCAGCAGGGGATCTGAGAACAGCTCATGTCTTGGCTTTTCTTCTTCTTTTTTTACTTTATTAAAACAAAAATGAAGTAAAACCAAACTGGTTGAAGCTTTAAGGGACCCACGGACGAAAGAATCTCCCGGAAAGATCCGGTGCCTTTGGCTTCCCGAACTCCAAATCGAGGCCTCGCTGACGTCTCCTAGGTCCCGCGATCAGTGCCCTTCTCACCCGCTTCTCTTTTGGTTGGGAGGGATTCTTAGGGTTTAGGGTTTAGGGTTTCCACTAGAATGGGCTACAGAAAAAAGTTGGTACCCTTTATTCGAACCTCTCTACTGGAGGACCTAGACGGAATTCCAGCGGTCTGACATCACATGGGAATCCCTCGACAGGCACAATACCCCCGCAACCTCCAAGTACCAACTGTTTTCCGGTTACGATGTCAACCCTCTACAAGAAAAGGAGTCATTTTCCATGGACAACTGACCGCTTTTTTTCTCCCCCGAACATACCAACTGAACACAGCGTTGGTTTTGGGAGTGGGTATGTGCCATGGTCTTTTGGTCCACTGGTTCCGTTGGCTAGCCCCCCCAAGCCCGAAACCCTTTTCCCCTTTTTTAGAAGCCCTTCAGAATCCTCCCCCTTCAAGGGCTGATGCTCTTTTCCGCCCTAAACGCTCAACCCTTGAGCCCCAAGCCCGAAACCTTAAACCCTTCTAAAACGCTCAACCCTGGACCCTTCCCAGAATTCACTTTGCGCCTTGGGGCTTGGGGGCCCTTCTTCCGGCCTCCTTCGAGCCTCAGGACGTGGCCATCCCCGTAGGCCCGGATCGTCGCCGGATCGTGGCCGAGTGACTTTGGGCCACCGGGCCGCCTCGCGATAGGCCCCGGCGTTTTTTTCTTTCAGCGGAAAAGTTGGTTTAGAAAGCGACCTGGCGCTGCAAATTACCCCGAGACCCTGTTCTGTAGCAGAACCTTCTTGCTATGAATGATGCCCTGGAAAAGGGAAAAGGGGGCTTGGAAGTGGGGGGATCGGTATCAGACAGATGTGCAGCCCGAGTCCGATTCGTGGCTTCCTCGAGAGGAGAGGCACCGACAACTGGTGCCACAAGAGGGGTTCGGCAGAAGGATCATGTGCTGTGACAGGAAGCACCAAATGATTGTTTCCTCAAAGTTGGAGGTTTGCATGGGGTCAAAGACTACCCCCTACTGAAAATTCCGTTTTTTTCTCAGGGTACTTTTGGGAAAACCTGGCATTCCATGGTAAATACCTCCTTTTTAGTAGAGGGTCGACATGATACCCTGAAAAAAGAGGGTATTTGGAGTAGGGTAGGTGATTACATAGCCACTGATTTTCCAGTTATCCCAAAAAAGGAACTTGGTTGCTGACTCCCTACTTCGAGCTCAGAGCCCCTGAGTTGCCAATATGCGTTAATCATACTCAACAGGAAGCCCAAACTCAAATATTACATAGTTTTCTATATCTTAAAAAGGAAAGCCAGCAAGCAATCATACCAGTCCGGTTTTTTTTTGGTTTTCCCAGAGCCCGCCTTCTGGCGATTCGCGTGAGCCGGGGAATGACTCGCCGAATTTCCGCTTCGTTCCCGCTTCGCTTCGAAGGCCCCAAGGTGTCCACCTTCACGGCGGAGAGTTTAGAGAGGAACATCGAGAATGAGCTCAAGGAGAGCGCCGGGACCCCAAATCGCGAAATCGTGAACTTCTCGAATCGGGTTCTTGGGTCAGTGCCATGTAGTGCCCTTTTGCAATTTCCTGTTTTGGGGAGGGTTCCCCTAAAATAGACTACAGAAAAAAAGGGGCACCCTTATTCTAACCTCTCTACTGGAGGACCGGGCATAGGATTCACCGAGATAAGGCCTCATTCAAGCCTTATCAAGGACCAAGGGTGTTTGGTGCTCTACTTATCAGGTTCCCTCCAAAAATGGTGCTTTGGAGCCCGGTCTGGTGGTGATTAAGGAGGGGTTTCAATTTTGCGCCTCTCTACAAGGACCAGGGACCCGTTCAACAAGCCAAACCACCAATTCCATGGTAAATACGTTTTTTTTTTTGTAGAGGGTTGACATCAGTCCCCCAAAAAAAGCACGGGTACTTGGAGGGGTAGAATGATCTTCCCACAAAGTATCAAGTGCAGTTGGGTTTCGGTAGGGGGTTGGTGGTAGCGAAACAAGGTCGACGGAACCCTCAAACTACCCGTAAAAGGCGGGCTATCGCCTCTATGGTCGGCGATTTCCCCCTTTTTTATGGGTAGTTTGAGTGTCCAGGTTGGGTGCTTTGGCGCTCACCTGGATCGGATTTGAGTCGAAGGTGTTGCTCTTCCGCCAAGAAACCAACAGCCAACTTAAAACCTCCGGCGGGGACTGAAAGTCGCTGAATGCGTTTCCGGTGACCGCTGCAAGTTGTTGACCTAGGCCATTTACAAATGAAGTCCGTGAATGTGGGACCAATCCTTTTTGCTTAACTGTAGATGTTGTGTTGTTGTTTTCTTTTTCTTTCCCTTTTTTGTTGGGGGGTGCGGGTGACAAGAAAACACGTATAATATGCGTTTTCTAAAAAAACAAGAAAAAACATGTGACACAACAAGTCATTGATTGCGTGGTCTCGCCTTCGCCATCCTTCCCCTTCGCCTTCCCCTTCGCCTCCTTTGGCTTCGGCTCGACGTCGCGGGGAGCCGAGATCCGGATGATCCGCATGCGGCTGGGCTTCGAGAGCGCCTACGAGGACTCCGAGGTGCGCGACGAGGCCCTGAGGGCGTACCTGCCCGGCCGCCGAAAAGAGGAGGGCAAGGAGCTGGGGTTTCGGGGGGGAAAGGGGGGGGCAGGGTTGGGCTGGTGGTGGTTTTATGGTTGTTTCTCGTCTTGCCGCTTGTGGGGCAAGTTTCGGATGGGGTTGGTTTGGGGTTCCTGTTTTGGGGTGGTGTGTTTTGTGGGCTTTGTTTGATTAGTATCAGGTATCCCCTACATGGTTTGGATTGGTTGGGGTAAAGGAGCCCCTGGCTCTTGAGAGGGAGAAGCCGCCTCGCCAAACCGCCACTTAGAGGTTGGGAAGAACACTGCGGTTGGCCAATCCGCTCAAAAAGTGGTTTTGGGAGCTGGCAAGACTTGAGACAGGAATTGGCCCAGCTAAGAGAGCTGGTTCCATTGCTTTGTTTGCCCAATTGGAAACATGTATAGCCCCCAAGTCAACGCTAGGGTGCCCTCAAGTCTGGCTCATTTGCATTGGTGATATAGAGCTCTGTTTGTCTTGAAAGAAACACCTTGAAAAAGAGGTCCTTCGCATACCCATTGTGCCGGCTCGGCCACATTGCATGGGGCCATTATGCATGTTTTCCCCAAGTTTCTCATGGAGTGCTTCCCCTTTCGCTATTCTGGCGTTTGCTCTTTTCCTGCATTGATCGTTTGGGTACGCTCCCTCCAACAATCATGGAAGTTGACAGGAGGGCTTTAGAAGACTATGTTCCTTTTAGGGAACCCCTTTGTGCACTTCCATGATTGTTGGAAAGAGGGTATATTGTTTGGGGGGCCGTTTTTCAGGCCCCTTAAAGCTCGCAGAATCGAGCACCCCAACCGCTTGGGTGCATTTGTCTTTCTTTGGTCGAAGGCCAATGCCTTCTGGCGCCCAGGCTGCACCTGGAGAAGGAATGCGTGCTGGATGTGGATTGGGCCTATGACGAGATGGCCCGGGCCTTGGACACCGTTTTTCCGCGGCTTCTCGCGTGTCCAACAGCGACTGTTTGGACAGAGGTGGGTTGCAACGAGAGGAACACCTCATCCAGACGTCTCACCACAATTCTCTCGAGAGAGGTCCAAAAAATGCATCCAGGTTCCAGTATGTCCAGGAGAGTAACTGCAACACCGCATCCAAACTGTCAAGGTTCAAAGTGCTGATTCATTTCTTTTTTCTCACGTATCCAAAGTGGACCGATCGAAAGGACCTTTTGGCGGTTCCCCTGTTTTTGGTTCCCAGATTTAGTCCAAAGGCGCCCAAAGGTGATCACCTTTGATTTCCGGTCCAAACTGGGCAAGTGAGGTTAAGGAAAGTGCACTGTCACATGAAAAAGGTACTCTGCCACCGACTGGAACCTGACGTTTTGGGGGGTCCCAGTTTGGACCGTGCCCCTATCAGCTCCCATATTGATTTGTCTGGGGGGATAATCGTTCTATATATGTCAAGATCCACTAGTGGACATAGAATCTGAGCATGTCCCCTATGCTTCCAGTTGCCACCATATCATAGTAGGGAACCAGGTGTTTGGTATCCTCTAGGCTTTACATGATGGCTTGCGCTTGGCAACTGGAAGGACTGGGTAAGTTTTATTGGTGGAATCTGGATATTAGTCCAAAATTCAGGGTCAAGCAACCCTGACTACCCCAGATGTAGGCCACGTAAGGGCTAAAACTGACTTCCATTTGTTTTAAATTTGTTTCCTCTGGTTTTAAAGGGAGTCGATTTCACTCCTGCTTTCTTTGTTCGTCTTTTCCTGGCACCGGAGAAAAAAGGAAAAACGAAAAACATGGAAGACGACGGGAGCTGGTTCTGACGCGCATTCCGTCGGCGCCTGCCCTGAGGACCAGGCCATCAAGCCCTGGGGCGCCCCGTCGCCCTTTAACGCCTCGGAGTACAAGACGCCGGGGGCCGCGGCTGGGGTGTGGGGGGGGCTTGGGGGGGTTGAGGAGTGGTGCATGGCGTGTGGTGTGGTGGGGGGTGTGGTGGTGTGTGGTGGGGTGTGTGGTTGTTGGGCCTTTGTGAAGTCATTGGGTCCTCAAGCCAGAAGCCAGAAGCCCATTGGATGAATCTTGTCAGTTGGGGGCCTGGTAGTGACAACCATGGTAATGGAAAGTGGTCCCAGCGGCGAAGTGTGTCTTGTCCAGTTGCCTCGAAACTCGGCCTCCTCTCCAAAAATATTGGACCCTTGTAGTAAATATTTTGCGGTGTTGTATCTCGATGAAAGGCACTATCCGGGGAACCAAAGAGATGGTGCGGACAGAGAGAGAGAGAGAGAGAGAGAGAGAGAGCGCGAGAGAGAGAGAGAGAAAGGGGGGGGTACATGCAATTTGGTTGCGACCTCACCTGGGTCTTCGGTCTTTGCGGCCAACTTTGAATGCATGTTAATTAACCAGCAGGGGTTTTGCAATCTTCTCCAACTTGAACAACGTGAAAGGAGCTGCCCCAAGAACTTCTCCAAAGAGACCTCCCTTCGCACTTTTCATGTGAAGTAGAGGCGAACTGTGGATGGACGGAATCTTTTTCGCACCAGATTGAACCTATGGTTGAAACCAGTGCTGGTTGGCATTTACAGGGGAAGCGAATCAGAAACCCGGGTTTCTGAACGGTCCATCCACACTAGTTCTCCCAGATGACATTTGCCTTCCAACCTTTGCCATCTCAGGTCTTGTCGTGGCCGCCTCAGCTTGATGGGGCAGGGGCTACGAGCCTCGACTCTTTTCCTTGTCTTCCCAAAATTCGGGGGCGAAGATCTGTTTTGTTGTGGCTTAGGCAACGGCCCCCGATTAAAACAACAAACAAACTACTTCAGTGCCCATTTCGACCCGTACGGGTCGCTGGTTGCACATTGCCTTGAACCCCTACCATGTTGCAAGTGCACCATCTGAGTACAAAACCATGGTAACACTGTAAGTAGGAGAGAGTCCTTGCCCCCTTACTTGCAATACTGTGGAAGGACGAAATCCGTTTCGCACCACCTAAGAAACCCTGGTGTCTGATACCCCAAAAACGAGGTTTTGGGGTCTCAAAACCTGGCTGTTTGAGGGCCCATTAAATAATGGGGTAAATACCAAGAAACGTTATAATTGGGGGTAAATTGCCCACGAAATTGGCGGGAAATTTGAGGTAAATTGGTGGTAAAGAGTTACTGCTACAGGCAAGGCTTAATTCAACCATGGTTTCCTTTCGTGCGAGACTCGAGGCTCCGCGACTCGCGGAGTGATCATCCACACGCCTCGAAGCCTTGGCCTCTGGCTGAGGCGAGGCATGGTCCAAGCACTGGAAGGAGAAGAAGCAGCTGCGGGAAGCTCGCAGGGCACCCAGAGGTCGTTTTTTCTTTCTTTTCGGGAAAAAGGGGGGGTGCCATGAACACCTATATTGCCCTCAAAATTACTTCCCTAAATGAAGGTGGTGGCACAATAGCTAGGTGTCCACGATAACCGGGGGGGGGGTCGGGGGTCGGGGAATTTTGGTGGCATGCAACCCTCTTTGGAATTCTTGGTGTTTGGTCGGGTATACCGGTTCAGAACGCTGTTGAAGTTTTTCTCTGTATGGCGATTGGGTTGGATAAGTCAGTACCATCTGGATGAATTATAACGACCTCACACGACCGAATTCACCCCACATGGTGGTTTATGTGGGGAATTGAATAGCCCCCCAACCACCTTATTTCAGGTTGGTGAAATGTTATAATTCACTCAGATACCATCCTTTTTAGTCAGGGGTTGACGTAAAAACGGGCTGGGGCACTTGGGGCTTTGTGGCGAGTCGGCAACGGATCTTTGGACTTGGACTTTTTGTGAATGAAGCGCTCCAATGCCAGTCCAAAGACCAAAGGCTCATGAATGACCCCTCAGACCAGCGGATCTTTTGTCTTCATTGGTCATTGAATGAAGCTTGGTTCTTCGTTGTGTTTTTCTCATTTTTTTGTGCGGAGAGGTTCACAGCAACGTACGTTTGAGGTGGGTTCCGGAAAGGCAATGCAAGCGAAGTCACTTTTGGGTCCCCTCAAAGGTAAGCCCAGCAACTCTCGGAGTGAGTCATATTTGCACATTTGTTTGAGCTTATGTTTGAACAAAACAAGCATACATGTATACGGCGCTCACATCCCCGACTTTCTGAGTTGACCAGTGAAAGCTTCAAACAAATTCCAAGTTGCAAAGCAGGCATAAGATGCCTTTTACGACCCTGTTGGTCTCATGGTTGCAGAATCTCCTGGGATCAGGGAACTTGCTTGATTTTTATTCCCAGAGGTGGCGAGCTCACTTTTTTTTTCTTGGGCTCGAGGTCGGTACCTCGCGGTGAAGGAGAATCATGCACCGCACTCGGCAAAATGTCTCACTGCACAGGGTCCTGAAATTTGAGCCACTTTTTGGGTTTGGTGCCAATCTTATTGGTAAACAAAAGGTTTGGTGCCACTTTTGGTTGGCCAATCCACTTCCTCTCAGAAGTGAAGTGTAAATACCTTGGGCGGATAGTGGGGAGGGAGCAAGGCCTTTGCCCAGCTGACCCTCAAGCTACGCCTGTTGATTTCCATTTTCGCGGTGAGCATCCAGGTAGTTTAGTTTTTTGCCGTGCCCGAGTTTTTCCTTACCCACCCGGGTTTCAACACGGAAAATGAGAGCCAGGTGCTCTCTGGGGTGCCGCTTCACTTCTCCAGCACGGACCTGAAGGAGTTGGTCGTACGGGAACCGACCTGTTCATATGAGCCACTTGCTCAAAACCCGGGTAGATGATTGCTAGGGGACAATCCCAACCATAAGCTGCGGGCGCCTTCTGATTTCTTTGCATGGCTTTGGGTAGACTATTTTAATACCAGGCTTTGATTATAACAGATGTGGGGGTGGATCAATATTCCTGGCCCCCACAATGGCCATAACTAACTGTTCCAGTTAGTGGGGGCATATCATCGTTTTCGCGGTTTTCCCCAATGGATCGGATGGACCAAATCCATATCCATGGCAAGCCAATGTTCTTTCCAGAGTTTCTTAGGTGTAGGATTTCGTCCATCAGCATGGATGCTACCAATATCAGCTGGTCAACTCAGCATATACCCCTTATAAGTGGTACAGATAACCTCCATAGCTCCAAAACCCATACCTGTCGCAGAAATTTGTTGGAAACAACTGGCTCTGGCATTAAGCCTATACCTGAACCCTCAAACTACCCAAGAAAATGGGATATCACCCCATAATTTTGGGTCAAACCCATTTTTAAGGGAATTTTGAGGGTTCAGGTAGCTCCAGCGACCTTTTCAAGGCCGCTGAGGAACCCGGTTCTTGGGGCCCTTCTTGGGGCCACATGGCCATGGGAAACGCAGAACCAATTCGGCGAGCCCATTTGTGGGTGGATGGACATTTTTTTGCCAGCGATTTTGATGTTCACCAGGGGTGTCCTGGGTTTTGACCAGCCACATGTTTAGTTGTAACATGTGTTTGTTTTAATGCTACAGCAACAACTCAAACAGAAGCCATGGCTTTAGCATCTTTCTTCTTTTTTTTTGGTGGGGGCAACTGAGACAACTCTACGGACAGTTTCTCATCAGGTTGTTACCCAATATCTGGCTAGTCGAGTCATGCAGGCAAAGACGAGGCCTTCTCCAAGCGATCCCAAATTGTGCGACTTGTTTGTGGCTACACTTTCCGGAGTTTCTAAAGGGAAAACCAAGGGGATGTCACGCAGCATTCTGACTGCCCCGTGGACTTTCCTACTTCGAGACTTGGCTTGGTCTTCCAATGAGGGGAAATCTCTGACTTCAAACTCGTTTGAAAGAGGTGGCCCAACAAACAAGCACCCACAAACCAGTGCAAGTGGGGACTGGCTACTCACTCCCTGAGTTGGGGTTCATAATTACTTTTGTTTGGAATTGGGAAGCCCAACTTAGAGGTCCTGAGCAATCCAGTCAAGAAGTGAGGAACTGCAGTGCTTCCAACCTGTGGGTTTTAAAACCCATCCGAGCCTCACATTTGACACGGCCTCACCAGCTTCCAAGGCCTTGCAGCACATAGCGGCGTGTCTTTGCATGATACTCGTTGGGTTTTGTCAGGTTTCCAACCACATGTGAGCCACAATCAAAACCCGAGTAGATGAAGGTTAACAAAAAAAAACATAACTAGCTGCGGCCGCCTTCTTGATTCGTTACATGGTTCTGGGTAGACCATTTTGATACCGGGTTTTGATTTCATGTGAGCCATGTCAGCCTGTGAAGACACGCCCGACTAGAAACCTGGGCTGGTCTGCAGGAAAAGTGCCCAAGAGGCTTTCCGGCGACTTGCCCAAGAGGCTGATCTCATGTTTCGCAGATCTTTTCAGAGAGAAATTCAGAGTCCCCTTACCAGCATTCCCCAACTCCCCCGTCCAAAAGACAGTGGTTGGGACCCGTTTGCTGGATGTGTCCCATTTTTGTTTGAGGTCTTCTTTCAATTTGCGTTTCTCAGGCGGACCTGGGAGGTGGTAGCTTTGCTGGACACCACAGTAAACTGCAGCTTTTGAAAGGGACATCCAGTGACCCGTGTGGCGTTAGAGTTTTCGTTTTGGGCCACCTTTATGCTGTAGCTCCCACTCCCCTTGCCCACTTGCAACCAAAGCGACTCGACCTGAAATGACCTTTTAGTTTCACCTTCCTGGACCCCCAAAGGACCGATTTCTTTGTTCTGCCTTTGACAAAAAAAAGGGATACAAAGGCAGAAAAAAGGGATCAGTCCTTTGGGGGTCCAGGTTTGTTGGCTTATCTTTCGTCATGTCCAAGGTCAACTTATGCGTGAGTCCTTCGCTTGCCCGAGGGGGGGTTGCACAAAGGGAAAGTCGGAACCGTTGAAATTTGTTGGTTTTTTGGGGGGTATACGTGGCAAATTTCCCATAGCTTTGGGGTGATATCCAATTTTTAAGGGAATTTTGAGGGTTCAGGTAGCTGGTATCTATGACTTGCTTCTTCTGGGGGGAGTTGTTGGGCTTGGTCGAACACCAGGAGATCCGAAAGTGCATCATGGGCTGCAAGCCGATTCAGGAGTGAAGCGGCCGACGGTTGAAGTCCGTTTGGAAGCCAGTACCAACATACCCGGCAAAACAGATTGTTGCCCCCACGGCCAATGGACCTTTGAGTTGCAGGTGCTACATATGTACTGTTGCGGGCAGAGGTAGTTAAGGAGGAAGCCATGATGACCCATACAGCCTTGCTGTAGGACTTTTGGGAGCGAGTGCTGCTTACTAGCCCCCCAGCGTCTCCGCAAGGTTCCCTCGACAAGCTTCCTCCACACATGGCTTTGATCTTCATCTTGATCTGCAGCGGGGCCGCTAGCTACTTGCCAACTACCCTGCATCCTGCATGCTTAAGTACTACCCAGACCTGTTTGCCCTATTTAGACTAGAAGCTGGACAAACTGTTTGCATTTGCCTTCAGGTGAGGAATGGACGTCCATCAGAATTTGCAACCTCTGAACAATGGGTTGCCCCAAATTGATGGTTGGTGATTTCCCTCTTTGGGTACCTTGAGTCGCCCAGGAAGACCTTGGCACTCTAACGGCTTTCCGGCTTTCCCGTGGTAACGTGGTAAGGACTTCCCGAAGGTCTGGGTTCCCCAATCCGGGCCGACAAGCGCCCACATGTTCCACGCCCGAGGGTAGCCATACTCCCCCCCTTAGTATCTCCACTGTTTCTATCAAAGTGGCATTTTCCCGTGGAAGCACTTTTTCATACAGGACACGGGTACCTCAAACCACCTACAGAGAACTCACCCCATAGTCTTGGGGCACCAAGCCACTTTAACGGGGTAGCCACCTCACCCTGCCGCCCGCTTGCGCCAAAGCAAATTCGCGAGGAGTACTTCAGATACCCCTCGGACGACATCTTCTTCTTCGCGGTAGCCAAGGCTGCCACTGACAGGTCTCTCCTCCAAAATGGTAAATATATCGGGGTAGTCAAAATGTGGATGATTTATGAGGTACCCTGGATTTGGGCCAAGGGGAATCACAGTAGGACAGCAGGGGCTTACTGGGTGATTTTTGGCCCTGGCTGTGCAGCCGATGATAGCGAAATCAAGCAGGGCCGGGCGCAACATGTGCAACCCCGGATTCGCTCCCCTTGAAGGGGGAAGCCGACGAAAGGTTGTTTATCAAACGGGGTGGTCGACGCATGCAGGTGATGAGAGAGAAGTGGTTCGGGGAGTATGTAGAAGCTGGACAGGTCATGCCGCTTCCGCAGAGCCCGTGGGCTCAGTCATCTTTTGAGCTGGCCGGCCGGATGGCTCTGGAAGAATCAAGGGGTACAACTCCCATGGATAGAACCTACCCGCTTCTCCAAATTCCCTGTGATTTAAAGGGTGTCCTTTGAAAACCGATCGGTTTCCAGTGTACCCCCCCTTTTTGCAGTAAAGGGTTGACATGATCTGGGGTGCATTTAGGAAAGTCGTTTAATCACTGCTCATCGTGTTCATTGGGTGTTTCTTTAATGCAGCTGCTGTCTGAAGTTTGGCAGCAAGTCTGGTCCTGTCTGCATGTGATGGTAATCATCAAGCCAATGCGCGTTCATCTGCGCCCTTGCTCTAAAGAAATCTGAGTCGACAACTGTTGCTCTTGTAGCTCATGCCGCTGTTCTGTCAGCACAGCCAACCGGATAAACATGGCATTGTAAGGAAACTGCGGAAACCTTTCATTTTGGGTGTATACTGCTCAGGCAGCCCTGCCGCGCTATGTGTAGACTCTGTGTCGCATGCCAGTGGGCTGAAGCAGAGGTGTCCCTCTCCAATTGTTGAGTTTTTGAACCACTATGCCCAGTCTGAATCTAGAAGTGAAGCCAAACATTTGGCCCTGCACTCCTTAGACCATGACCTGACAGCAAGGCCCATCGAAGACTTTCCTGATTATTTGTCGCTGATTTTTCCGACGGCTTAAAACACACACTCAAGAAAGCAGACTGTTTTAATCATCACGTAACACGTACCATCTTGGCCTCAACGCATGGTGCATTTAAGATAATCACTGTTTTAAGGGCAGGCCCCCCAAAACCTGCCCTTAAAACAGTCGGTAGCGCTACCGACTGCTGTAAGCAACCCCCTGAGATCAACGGGGCGACTTGTTTGATTGTTTTAAGCAGTTTTGGTGGCAGTCCAAAGTGCATTTAACATAATCAGGGGGTTGCTTACAGCAGTCGGTAGCGCTACCGACTGTTTTAAGGGCAGGCCCCTGGGGGGCCTGCCCTTAAAACAGTGATTAGCTTAAATGCACCCTCCGAAAAAAGCCGGAATTAGTACTAATTTCAATTTCAGGTCATTGTGAGTTTTGATGGCTTCCCCTAGCCAATACTTTCAATGAGACAAACAATGTCCAAACAAACATAAGCGCCAGGGATGTTCATTTTGAAACGACCATGGGATTCTTCCAACTTGCATGTTGCACACTGGTGGCAGGAGAGCTAGCTTTGTGAAGCATGTCTGCATCACGGCAAGCCTACGTTGGTCCAACTTTACCATCTTGAGTTTGCGGTAGCTCGCGGTAGCGCAGGCAAATTGGAGTTTGACTGCGTGCATGTCTGTGCACAACGTTGTGTCATTGTTGGTCCAGCGCAGCCAAATGCAGCCAACTTGGAAGGTTAAGACACAACAAGTAGAACAGGGGATCCAGCCAAGACGATCAAGAAGCGCAATGAAGCCTGCACGTTGAGCATCTGAAAAGTGCAATTCGATGATCCTTTCCGAGCTTAAAGCTGTCATGATTATGAGCTCAATACGATCCAGCAAACACCACCGTGTGAATATTTGACATCTTTAAACGCACCTCAGTGATGCCCTGAAAAAAGCTGGTATTTGGAGTAGGGGGTAGTTGACAAGTTACCCTTCCACAGGTTGGCCAGTGCAGGGGGGGTTAGCAAATTCGCCTGTATTTACCATTAAAACCAAGGGGTTCAAAACAACACAACGCAAACAAAGCAGGGTATTTGGAGCAGGGTTCCAGATGCTCTGGTGTCGCTGGGTTCATTTTGGGTCTGTCAGACTGGTGTCGATGCAGAGATTTGATGCCGGAAAAGGGACCTTGCTTCGCAAGAGTTTAACCTTACCCTGAAACTACCGATAAAATAAACATACCAATTGCTAGAGTTCACCAAAGTTATGGTGGGAGATGTGCCTTTTCTAGAGGCACTTCAAGGGTCCAGGCCCCCTCAATTGAGAAGAAGCTTTGAATGCCTCCTCCCCCGACTCCGCCCGCGGGTGCCGATCCTTGGTCCGATCCTTGGCCCTGCCCAGGTGTTTGCTCCGTGTGGGTCTTCATGGGCGCAGAGGCCATCGAAAAACGGTCAACGAACGAACGAAAAGACCTCGCTCGTTACGAACGACCGACAGAAAGACCTCCGAAGCTCCACTGTTGCCCCTAGGTGTTTTTTTTCTTCATGGCCTCTTTGATTTGTTGCTTTGTTTGTTTTTTGATTTGTTGTGGGGGGGGGATCTTCTCTTTTGTGGAACATCGCTGGTCTTGGCAATGTGTTTATGTTTTCTCCGGTCTTGTTTTTGTTCTTTTTTGGTGGGCGGCACAGAAGGCAGTTTCTGGCTGACGTACTTGAGTTACTCAAGGGAAACGACCAGTTTTTCAGATGACCACGCCCAAGCGAAAACAACATTGGCAGTTCTGTTTGTTTTTGGGCTGGGTAACCCGGTAAACCAAGGCCATCACAATGACATGTCTCTCACCAAATGCCGTGAGCGACACTGTTTCACCCAGGAAGAACATGGATTGGGGTCGGGGTCACTCTTCGGGGGGGCTTCGATCTCGCTTGCGAATGTGTGGAGTGGGTGGTTCTACTACCTGGCTTGATTGGGGTTATTGGTAGAACCACGAGCCAGGTTTTGGTTGCTATGGATTGGCTCACTTCCTGGCCCTCCGATCCAGCATGCAACTTGAGGACGCTGTGGGGGGTACCCTCCCTTCCACTAACATGGCACCTGGCAGAGGGTTTCTTTGAGAAGGAAATTAGGCTTCCAGATACCCTCCCACAGGTGCTATGTTTGTTGGAGGAAGGGTATAGCCCCCTTTCAAAGTCGACCAAAGAAGGGTGCCCATTTTTCCCGCCCAGACGCTTCTGGAAGACCCAGACCCTCCATTGGACCCCAGGAGGGATTTTGGGGTCTCGAAACCTGGTTGTTTGAGGGCCCAAAATAAATAGGGAGTGTCTGGGCAAACAAATGGTCTGGGCCCGAAGCAAACCGTTGAGCAATTCACTGCCCGCTCATAAGATGAAACTTGCAGAAGTGATGCCCTGGACCAATTTGTATTTCAAACAAACCTCGGGGGTTGCATGTTGCAAAGGTTTTTCAAAGCGCACCCTGAAAATGACACTCAAGGCGCCCCATTTCGTTTATTGCGGGGATCCAGCAGGAACCCCGAACTCGTTGCATTTTTTGGGGGGTTTCTCCTATGTCAATGTCCAGTGTTGGATTTGCAGCGCTTTGGGAGGACATACTCCGTTTCCCGCTTGACCCAAGGTTTCCCCTTTTTGGCCAACTTCTAAAAGGCTCCACTTTTTGCAAAGGTCCCACACGGTGATCACCTTGTGTTTCTCCTGGTCCAAGCTTCCAACTGGGCGCCCCGCGAGCCCCACTTTGTCGCGTTTGCGACCGGGTCCGCAGGTGAAGATGTCGCGTCAACGAATTCTAGCTCTGAGCAAGGCCGCGTGGGCTGGAGCCGTTCGCGGGCTTTGGCTTTCCCATGTTTGTTGCTGCTTGTCGGTGGTTGAGTCTGATATTGTTCTTTTGTTTTGTCAACGCAGGCTGTACCAAGGATGATTTTGCTTTTGGTTGCTGGTTGTGTCTTTTGTTTTTGTCCCTTAAGGAAGGTATGGTCGAATCCCGGTGTCCGATTCGATTCGACTCGCCCAGGTCCAGAAGTCCGGAGACTCAGTCGAGGGTTCGGCCGCAAATGGGGCCCTCAAACTACCCCCGAAAGATGTCGACCCTCTACTAAAAAGGAGGTATTTACCATGGAAAACCGATCGGTAAAAGGCGGGTAGTTTAAGTAGGGGGTACCCATGAAACAGGGAGTTTATCCAACAAATCGACCATTCTGCACTGGATCAAGCACTGATCTCAGCCAGGTGTCGCTCCAACTGGCGAGTCTCTTTTGGAGGGTATTCCATTTGCTGAAATGAATGTTTTGCTTTTCCCCCTTGTTGGTTTTAAAGGAATTTATCACTACTGGATTTTTTTAGTTTTTTTTTGCAGGGGTCTTATCCAAATGGAAGTAAGCTAAGGAGTTTATCCAATAAATTTGAGGGCAATAGCGCTAAGGGAATGGGGTCCTTCCCCTGGTAGGGATAGATTTGTAGCCCTTTGAGAGTCTTATCTCCAGGGTTCATGTTGGTTTCCCTCCACCCGGTCACCTGCTAGCCATGCAAATGGATGCTTGCCCCACATTTATGAGTGATTTCTTTTTTTCTGGGTAGTCTGAGGGTCCAGGTTGGTTCTTGTAACTTCCCCAGGGAGCCTTCTTTAATAACCCACGGGAGGCAGGTTCCAGGGATCCTTCTTGATTCCGCGAAAACTAGGGGGGATCGCCTGGTGTTTGAAGAAGAACGATGGCCGAAAAGAATGGGGAATCAAATTCTAGATTGTTAGGTGGGTAGGTTGGGGTGGTTGGTTTGGTTTCGCCTCCAACGTCTGTGACAGTAAACATCACCTTTTCCCGCTTAAGAATTGAATTAGGTGTTCGCGGGGCAAGGTAGAAATTGGAATTGGCGAAACACCCCACCCCCCCTCCCCCCAATTTTGGGGGTGCTATACTCAGACTTAGCTGATTTTGAAACTGGTTGCCTTCCTCTTAAAGTAAATGGAAGAGCCTGCCCATTGAGGCTTTTTCATCCTCAAGAACCTACATGCATTTACGCTTACTCTCATTACTTGGGGCTAGTGGGCTTGGTCAAGAAAACATACGTGGCAGGTTGGTAGGTTTGGTTGGTAGGTCTAGTTGCTTTTAGTCGTGTTTACATCAAGTAAAGAAAGACCAGCGCACCTGAAATGATCTTTTGGGTGGTGATGTCTGGAGTTCGTCGGACAGACGAATCCTGCTGAGTTTGCTTTCATGGGGTCCATCGGTTGCCTCCTTCTATTTCTGGGAGAGTGATTCAAAGAGTGTCGCGAAACATGAGGTGCCAGGGAAGAGGAAAGTACTGGACCCGAAGAAAATGTTCTCAAGGGAAGTCACCACCAAAATCATTTTATGGGGGTTTGGCTCCAAGTTAAACCACCAGGAATCGGACCGCAGGTTTGTAGCAGGGCGCAATTCCTCGAATTCTGGTACCTATTTTTTGACCCATACCCTAGGGCACTACACATCCTCCAAAACAACCGGGGGGGGGGGAGTTTGGGCTGAAGGGAGCGCGAGCCATCGGCTCTCAGGGAGCGTGAGCTAGCGGCATGGGAGGAGGCCAACGGAATCGTGGAGGAGGACGGAATCCTTTGGTTCCCAAATGACCCCAGACCGAACCATCCATCTGGTGGTTTCCTTTAAAAAGCAAGGATAACTACCCAACCTTCAAAGTCAGAGAAGTGAACCATTCATGCCTGGACCCTCAAACTACCCTTAAGTATTGGTTACTGCCCTCACCCCTACTTGTTCTTGCGTAGTTTGAGGGTCCAAAGTGATGGTTTGCTGTAAAAGTAAGAAGAACCCGCCTGCCGGTCTATTCCCAAGACCCCGAAGTCGATTCCCTACCTGTCGAACGAGTGTTTGAACAAAAATCAAAGCACCGTCCCATGCTGGATTTGCCGTGACGGTCCCTTGCATCTTCAGAGGCTTCCATTTGCTGAAATGGGTATGGGTCAAAATGAAACCAGGAAACCTCAGGTTTTTGTCCTTGGTTCCATCTACCTGGGTTCCATTTTGGGAGCCGAATTCTGACTCACTGCCAAATGAAGGTTCTTTGTATCTTCCCTTGTTGATGTTAAAAGGAACCTCTCACCACTGGAAATATGTTCTCATTTTTCCAGAGGACTTGAGCAAATGGAGGCTTCAGATGCAGTTTCTTGGAACTTTGGGCCCCAGGCAAAAATCCCCACTTTGTTTTTGTTGTTTTATTTTGTCTCGGGATTTGTCATTTGTGTTTTGGTGGTAAGTGTCGTAAATCGGGCCCCATCCCTCGATTGTGGTGAGGTCCGCAGAAAGGCTCAGTTTTTGCACGCCTTGGCTTTCAATCCATTTTCTGGAAGCAGCACCCAGCCGTCCTGGCTACCCGCTTAGAAAGAAGCGAGCAGAGGCAGTTTAGACAAGAGCGGGTCAAGCGTTTTGAAGCAGCTCGGTCTGCAGGAGGATGACGAGGACGACTTGGAGGACCCATCTGATGTCAACGGATCCGGACCCAGTCAGAACAGGTATTTGATTATGAGAATGCTTGAGACGTAATTTCCGGACCCAGTCAGAAAAAGTATTTGATTCTCATGAGAATGCTTGAGACGTAATTTCCCAGTTTAGAGTTGAGGATGGATATGTTAGGTTTTTTTTTGAGACCCCCGAGGTCTCACTCCCTGAGTTTACGGACTTGAAGCTTTCCGGTAAGACCATTCAAGTGGCAAACACAGTTTTTGGTTACTTTGTTTGGGCCAGCCGGCTCGATCAGAAGTGAGATTTAGTTCTCTGATCGATTGATGCAAGGTCATGGCGTTGACTGGAGCCAGGCTTTGGCATGACTTCGCATGGGACTTCGCTATGAAGGCCTTGATGCCTCATTGGACAAGTGAGAAATGAAACTGCATGCCCTTTTCAGACTGCCAATCGATTGGCCACTTCTTTTCTAGGGCCCCAAAAAGGCTTCCGGATTGTATGGATTTTGTGAGCGAGGAGGTGGTTTGGCAATCAACCTGAACAACAAATATCGTTACCATGATTATAAGTTCCTTCCATGAATTGAAATCGGGGTTACCTGCGTGATGTTGACCCTGGATTCACCATCCCCTTCAATAATTAGGGGGTTCCCTCCAAGAGTGGTTTGAATCCAACCACTAAAAGGGGAAAAGCACCCCCTCTTATCAAACTCAACCAGGGGTTCTAAAAGCTTCAATTCTGGGTGAAATGTGGTTGGAATCCGACAACTGGGTGTGAAATGCTCAAAATGAAGCGATCGGGGCAAACCGCAGGTGTTGGTACCCAAACTTGCACCAGGGCAAGCCATTTTGGAATTCCGTTTTTTTTAAGCCACAGCCAACTCTTGGAGGGGCCCAAAACCACCCCCTAGTAATACACCGGTTGGTTGATGAATGTGGGGTTCCCATGCTGCTGGCTGCTTGGGAGGGCTCCAAAAATGCGTTGCCTGTCACATTCGCGCAGAACTTCAAGCCGGACGAGGCGCCGGCGGATGCCAAGCCTGCAGAGGCGCCGCCGCCGCCGGAGGCAGGAGTCATCCAAGTTATGTCTTCCAATGTGCTTAAATGAATATTGGTTAGTTTTCCCCTCTTGGTTTTAAGTCAATTTCACTACATGCAAAATATATTCATTTTTCCAGTGGCCTAAACAAATGGAGGTTGTTGCCCGCGTGCCCCTCAGACACTCAGTTGTGTCCCTCTTTCCTTTGTGGTGCTTCTTGTTTGTGTTTTGCTCTGTGCGGGAGAGGAGGTTGATATACATCCATACTGTGGATGGACGGAATCTTTTTCGCACCAGATTGAACCCATGGTTGAAACCAGTGCTTGTTGGCATTTACAGGGGAATCATCAGAAACCAGGGTTTCTGAACGGTGGTGCGAGATTTCGTCCATCCACAGTATGGGTGTTTGCACTCAAGTAGCGGGAGTCGGGAGCCCGGTGCTTCACTTGCCTCTTGCAACTTATGGCGGGGGGTGCCCAATGGGCGATGAGGAGGTGAGGGCCGTTGGAAAAGTCACAGATGTTTGCCACATAGTGTGGATGGGCGAAAACCATGTTGCACCAGGGGGGAAACCAATGGAAACCAATATTCATTGGTATTTACAGGGGAATCTCCAGGGTTTCTTCAGTGCTGCAGGAGTTCGTTCATGCACATGATGTTCATTGTGAAGCCAGGCACAGAGGTTCCAGACTGTGCCAACACATTATAAATACAAGCAAACGCCTAAAACCGGTGGCCCCCTAAAAGTGTTTCCGAATTCCTCTTTTGCAGGCATCCCAAAATATGCCAAACTTGTTCCCAAAAACCGCGGTAACCACACCGCCCCGGCAAGTAACCCAGTTGCCATGTGTACGAGTCCCTCAATCAGGTTGTAATAGAGCTTATATGGATGTTCGGCCGACTCAGTACGTGGTTTGTCACTGGGTTAATCCTCGCATATATATATATATAGATATATATATATATATGTATATTTATATATATATATATACAACCTTCATACCTCCAAGCCCCTTCTTCCTGGAAACAACCCTTCAACAAGATATACCAGACTCTGTAAATGACTAGTAGTTCAATTACTCCAGGAGTCTAGCTCCACCACCCCCGCTCCCTGGTTAAACCCCCCCAAGCAGGGACGTCGCCGGCGAGGTGAAGGACGATGGCCAAGACCTCTACGCCAACTCCGCCTCTGACCGCCAGCTTGAGAAGCTCCAGCAGGCGCTGAAAAATCCGCCCAAGTGGTCCCCCGGCCAGAGGTGCCCTTTCTCACCCACTTTTTGGGGGGCGGGTTCCCCTACTAAGATAGACCTAATTCTAAGTTCCGCCTTTCTACAGAAATAAGGGACCTATATACTATAATAGACCTCTAGGTCCCTCTAGGTTCCCCCCCTCCCCCCTCTACAGAAGAAATGGGTACCCTTATTCTAGCCTCTCTACTGGAGGACCTAGAGCCCAAGTGGCAGGGTCTGGCTCTGGGGGTCGTCTTACCCCCCAGCTGAGAAGGGGTGGCTTGGGGCAGCTTTCAAGTCAAAGGCTTCCTTGGCGGTTGGCGATACCAAGGCTTATTTTGCTTATGCTGTCGTGCGTGTGTGTGTTTTTTGTTCTTATTTTGCGGGGGGGCAAAGGGGAAGCAAAAGGACAACAGACCCACTGCTGGAGTCCCCCGCAAAGGTCGGCTTTGTCCTTTCGACCTCTTGCCAGACTCAGCTGAATCGGTTTGCCCTTCCAGGCCCTTGCCACCAAAAAGTTGAGCTTGTTGCCGGGTATGCTAAAGTCTGGCCAAGTCGAGTAGGGCCCTTGGCTCCCTCACTCCCTGAGTTCATGGACTTTAAACTTTTTGGGAAGACCATTTTAGTGGTAAACACAAAGTTTGGACTTTTTTTAGTTTGGACTTTTTTGGGGCCATCCACTCAGGAAGCGAGTTCCTGGTGTTCATTCGCCGGGTTTCCTTTCTGAACACCAGGGCAACAGATCATTGACAGCTGGTCGAGCCTGCCGTGTGAGTGCAGAGGTCAGCTGCTTGAAGCCTGTCATGTATCTCTGTCTCAGCTTCCCCTTATTTGGTGGTTTGGATTGGATGTTCGGAGGGGGCTGGTTTCTCATTCACACTCTCCGACAACCAGGGGTTCAAAACCAAATCCAAACCACCAAGGACGGGTTCCCTTGTGGCCAGGGAGAGGACGCTGATGCTGACAAGAAGAAGGACAAGAAGAAAAAGAAGAAGCCCAAGGAATCCGAGTGATCGGCGACCAAGCCGGCTGCCCAACCATGCGAGCGGACGGCATTGACGGTGTTCAGTCGAATGGGCTAGTTGGAACACGGCACCACATGTCAGCTTCCCTCACTTCCACAAAGCCGACCTTTTGACCTTGCGGTGTTTGCATGTTGGTCCATTTTTCGTAAAGGTTATAACCTCCAAACTGGGCAACTGAGTTCTATGATTGTTGAGACCCTCAAACTACCCACGCAAAAAGTGAGATTGCAACATTAATTTGGGGCAATCACCGATTTCGATGGGTACCCCCTACTCAAAGGACCCGTTTTGTTCAGGGTATTTTTCGGAAAACCTGGCTTTCCATGATAAACACCTCCTTTTTTTTGTAGAGGGTCGACTTGATACCAACTGAAAAACGGTGCGGGTATTTGGAGATTACGGGGGTAGTTTGAGGGGTCCAGCAGGGTAGTTCCGGCTCGCCCCACGTCCACGGCCGCTCGCATGGCTCCGAGTTAACGCCGCGAAGGGGTCCACGTCTCACGACGGAGACCCGCCCTTCAGCCGAACAAAAGCCGCGAACCTTTTCCGCCCGGCCAGCGCAGGAGGTTGCTTTCCGTTTTGATTGCTCAATATGTCATTTACCTTTATGTGCGTAGGAACATTTGTTTACACACACATATATCTAAAAATAAAAAAAATACACCTATGCATACAACAAGTATACATATATACGTATTCATACTTGATGTATGTTTTTCCGCAAATGGATTTGGAGTCTGTACCCTTTTGTCTGGTCGTGTTTGTCGTTCAGTTTGGGTTTCCAAAATTGGATCTGCCCGGGTCATTTGCTTGGGCTCATCGGCCACGCGGTTCCCATTGCCGTGAATGGGCCCCTAAGGGGGGGGCTATGGGCATCCCTTGTTAGCCCCTTAATAAGGGCTGACCCTTTGCTTATCCTTGGGCTTGTCCGGCTTTTACACCCTAGGGGTCCGTGAACCACTCATGCATGGCTGTTGGGCACCCTGAAGCAAATGGAAGTTTAGAACGCTGGATGCTGAACAACTCATTGCCGAATGTCCATCTCATCCTGAAGAAAGTGCGGGGTTGCTCCCCCTCGTTATCCGCAAAAGCGGAGAAAAAAATTGGAGTGGAAGATCGGTAGCCGGCTTTACCTTGTGGGTCAATCTTCGGTCAGTTTGAGGGGGTCTCAACAGAGGGCCCTGAGCGAAATGGTTAATCATGTGTCATCCTGTTTTTCTTTAAAAACTAGACAGCAGAGGGTACATCATTTTGGGTACTTGGATGTTCGGCCAAGTTAGTTAGTGAATAGCCACCTGGGTTACAACCGACTAATAATATTGTCAAATCCACTGAATGAGGGGCCTAAGAGCGGGTTGTAGCCTGGGTTACTGTTACAACTTACTTTCTTGGCGAATCGAAGAGCCAGGTAGCAACTCCGCAACCTGTTGTGTGTCTAGGCAGTGCCCTGCATGGTAGGAGAACAATCATCGCCAGCAGGAGGGCGATTCCAGTTCGGGTTTTGATGGGCCAGACCCCCGTAGTTCAAATCTCCGGCATGAAACCCGCTTACTGTTAGTGTATGACCTGGTTTTCCATGGTCCAGGCAAGACATCCTTTTTGAGAAGGGCTGACATACCAATTCAAAGAAGGATGGTACTTGGAGCCCCTTTTCGGGGGGACGGACCTCTTGCATGGGAGTGAACTGTTGCCATCCACAGCTTGCTTGGCCGCGCGCAACGGCTCGCACACGGCTAGAAATTGACACGAGGCCTGCTGATGAGCTGCATTTCGCAAGCAGAGTGGAATTGATATCTTGCTGGTGAGGTAGGGAATGAGGGAATGAATCCAGACTTTGGTCCCCTAGGAAACCACAAGGGATGTTTTTTTTGGGTCATTCCATTTCTCATTCCCTGCCTATCGCACCAGCAAGTGGCACAGTAAATTGTTCGCCTCCTTTGGTCTAGGCAGCTTGCTTCTTAGAGTCTATGCGCGAACTGAGCGACGATCAATCGCGCAATATCAGTATTGCTTTTTCACTCGAGTGAGTGCATTTGAAAGCACCCAGTGGTATCCAGTGTCTGTTCCTTGCTTCTTTTTTTTTTTTTGGGGGGGGGCGTTTTGACCAAAGTCAGTCATCACAAGATCGTGCTGTATAACTTACCTCTTAAAAAGCACAACTTTTCAACTTTTTGGGGGTAACATGGGCTATATGTCTGTAAAAGATTAACTTCCCCAGGGCTTGGAGTTTTGAGGGGTAAGATAAGGATCTATATTACTTCCTTGAAACCCGGGGAAGGAAGAGGCTGGATTTGCGTCGCTTGCCACAAGGCACGGTTTGTGATCGGGCGCACTCGGCTCTGGATCCGAGGGGCTCTCATCAGCAGACCCAGGTGCCTTAGAACTGTGCCTTGGGCCAAACCCAGGCGAACCTCGAACTGAAAAAGGACTGTCCTTGGCACAGGGCTCCTTCAAAGATTCGCATTTTGCCCATCCATTTGAACCAGGCGGCTTTTTCAACACCAAAATAAAGAAATGGAAACCCACCATTTACAAGTTGCAATGTTCGATCGGTGTATGCATCAGCTGCTCCCTGTGGCAGCTGCCTGACGAAAAGTCTCACTCCCTGAGCTCCTGGGCTTGAGAGGCTGTTTGGGGCTTGGGCCAGTTTAGTGGTGAACACATTTTTTTTGTTGGCCCATCCACTCACGAAGTGAGTTGTGTGGTTGTTTTTTTGTTTTTGACTTGTTTGTTGTGTATGTTTGTTGTGTATGTTTGTGGGTTTGATATTCCCTTCCGAGGAGCATGTTTTTCGCTGACTCATACTAGTCAGGGCTGGTATTTTTAGCAAAGTATAGTATCACTCCAAGCGTTATTTTTCTTCAATACGTTTTTGGCACGACCATTTTAGAGGCAAACAACAAGTTCCTGCTTTTCCGCCGACCCACTCAGGAAGTAAGAAGCATTGCAAGTCAACCAACCGGAAAGTAGCAGAAGCTTTGCACATGGCCTTTGTTAGAAGGTGTCAGTTTCGTCAGATGTCTTTGGGCACATGTTGGCACTTTCTACAGAGATTGTCGACAAGTCCGACGAAACCAACTTCGGCTCGGTCGAGACCGAGTCGCCTGAGGACTGGTTCCACATCCGGTCCTTCGACAACTTGCTCGCTGCACGCTGGGCCCTGAGGTGGAACCGAGCCGAAGCTAATCTCAGCGTCCCCTCTGATGGGTGGTTTGGACATTGGGGGTGTGGTGAAACGGGGGTGGTTTCCCAATGTTCCCAACTTAGCCTCAAAGGCCAAGGTTTCAAGGGGAACCCCTAAAGAGAATTCCGGAAGAATCAACTCATGCAACATGGTGTCCATTTGCGTTTCAGAAGATGCGCTCGACTTTTCCCGGCTTGTAAAGGGAATCTATCACTGGAATGGAGGAACCCACTTTACAAAGGGGGGGTGACTTCCACACAAGTGACCCGGATTTCCACTAAACGCGGACACCCCTGTTTTTTGCTATGAACCCTGGGTTGGAGCAGGTCTTGGACCACTTTTCCTCCAGAGCCCTGAGCGATACCCCAAAGAAGGTAGGGTCAAGAGCTAAATACTGAGGAGTCATATTGCTGCTTGGGAGTCTCGGTCCCTTTTGAAAAAGGGGGTCAGCCTGGTATTTGCGTGGACTTTGGCGAGCTCACGTGGGGGAAGGCGAGCTGACGGTGATGAAGGTTTCCCTGCGGGAATGCTTGCAGATTTTGTAGCAACCATCAGCGACGTGAAAATGAGTTACCAACCAAGTTGCTAAATGGCCGCCAAATTTCAATTTCCCCAAGGGCAGCCAAAAGGCGATGTCTCTTTTCTTCAGGCCCCGGATTCAGCACGGGGTATGTTTTTCAGGCCCCCAATTTGCAGCAGGCAAAAAACACGTGTGGTGTGGGGAGTGTTTGCACCGAGATGAGGCCAGAACTTGCCGGTCTTCGAGGCAGGACCTTCAAGGTTTCATAGCTGGGCGCTGGGTTGGATCCGAGAGCTGACTGCTGGTACTTGCCAAGGGAGGTGGCTCTGCGTAGGGCTGTGGTGGACATTCTTCCCTTTTCCTCAGTTTAACTTGGAATCAGCAAGACACAGATTCATGGAGGAATGTGCCTTGGGGAAAAGTTGGTGTTCCATGTTTTCTTGAAGGCTCATCTTCCCACCAAAAGGAAACCCAAATGGCAGCCACGAGAGAATGTGGACAAATAAAAAGCCGAACTATGCGAAGATTTGCCGAAACAGCCTAAACTTCACTGTTCTTGGCATTTTTTGTTTTTTTAGTTTTTTGGTTCTGTTCATTTTTACTGGGGGTCTGCAAAAACAAAGTTGTTTGCTACCATACCAAGAGTAGAGATGTAAAACTATCCAACGCCATGTCTTGTCGGTTGCCAATATGGAGCCCAAGGGTGGAAGTTCCATACCCAACTGGAAGATGCAATCCAAATTCATGTTGCATGGTTGCTTTGTCACAGCCTAGACCCCCAAAGGACCCCCTTTTTTCTGCCTTTGTACCCCTTGTTTTTGGGTCAAAGGCAGAAAAGGGGTCCTTTGGGGGTCCAGGAGGTTTGCAACCACAATGGGTCTGTGTTTTTTGAGGGCTTCTTTCTTCAGGTTGGTTTAGAGGGAAGCCGAATTGACCACTGTTTTGTTGTTGAGTGCCTGGACCCTCACATCACCCTGAGAAGTGCATTTAAATCTGAGGGGCAAGACCCAAGTTGTAAGGGTAGTTTGAGGGTTCAAATTCGAGTAACTTTATTTTGTGATTTGGATTGGCAATTTTGGGTTGAGTTTGAACCCCTGGTTCTTGTAGTGAAACAAGAATCAAAGCCAAGCTTCACACCTCCAAAACCACGGATTCGGCTCCAAACTGCCATTCCATTGGAGGGAAGCTGACATGCTGTGGATGGACGAAATCTTTCACCACTTCGAAACTATGGGAAACCCATTGTTTGTTGGTATTTACAGGGGAATCATCAGACACCTGGGTGTCCTGGGCGGTGCGAAATGGATTTCGTCCATCCAGAGTATGAGTATGTCTTAAAATAGGCTACCTACTTTTGGGG